AACCAGCAGTCAAAAGGGAGAATGAAATTATTTAAAAAAACAGGCAGAGACACGACTCCACGCAGCCGCAACAAAAACGAGAGAGAGAGGGCCACCCACACACGGCACGCGGCGCACACCTCACACACACACACAAACACGCACAGGCACCCCCAATCCCGCACACAACGCAAGCGTGATGCATCACGGCACCCTCCCACACAAACAACGAGAGCAAATTAGATCTCCCTAGGCAAACCATGCAAACTGCACGGCACACACAACAGCTGCGACGAGGTGTCTCTCTTCTTCTCGTATTGCACTTGACATTCGGATCCCCACAGCTCTGTGTGTGTGTAGTCACACGCAAATATCACCCACTCACAGTGAAATTGACTGGCTCGTCGCGGTGGGATTTTGCGCTGCAAATCGCTGAGGTGCGAAGAAGCAAAACACCCGCCGCCTCTTCCTTCACCCGCAAGAAGAAGGAGAATAGACGCCGCCGCATTGCCCCCCGCGACGCAAATATACGCTGCGCCCAGCACGTGGTGCAGTGCACGTGAATTCCGCGAGGGAACTGTTTGCCACACGACTGGGCCGCACGGGGCGCAGCCTGCGAAGGCAGCCGCAGACGTCTCCGCCTACTTCAGTCGTCGTGGCGGTGGAACCCGCAGATTGTCAGACGCCGGCACATTTGCCCCCGACGCAACCAACAAAAAAAGAGTGCGGCAGCATACTCCCCGCTGCAAGAGCAGAAGCGGCAGCCCCACTCTGCGGCCACCGCGCTACCCAGTCAGCCTCACACAATTTTCCGTATTTCTTTTTTAGGCCGCACGCCACCGCAAGGCTCCGCCACGGCAACGCATGAAAGTGGAGGCAAAAACACCCCGCCACCGTCGCCACCAAGCCCAAAAGAACGGCCCAAAGACAGGGGTAGGACAAAGTGTCCGCGCGGACGCACCCACAGCGGCAGCAAACTCAGAAAAAAGAAGCCGCCCACCCCGTGCCGCGCCGTTGTAGTTGGCGGCGAAGCGCTTCAAGACAACACTCCCACACGCAGCGCACTGTCTTCGCAAGGAAAGGGGGTGAGTCACAGCGCACACTATTCCTTTGTCGTTGTCTCGGCCTCTTCATAGCCACGGAAGGCAGCAGCAGACACAGGCGGCAACTGCCAGCACCAACTACGAAAGCATCCTCCACGTACACTGCAGTAAATATATGTCGTGTACGTGTGTGCCTGCAGATACAAAAATTGAAAGAGAGGAAAGGGGATCAAAGCGTGTGAGGACGCACATACACACACAGAAGAGATGCAGGACGCAAAGATGGAAAAACCAGATGACTAAGACTCAAAATGACACCGCAGCCCGTGCACTGGCAACACACATGAAATATGATTTACCAAAAAAAAAAAAGATTACTCTTAAAGACGTTTTCACAAGCAAAAGCAAAATATGTTGTCGTGGAAGGCCCCCGTGCCATCCTTTAAAAAAAAAGTTCATTTTTTGGCCGCATATAGAAACATATGACATATTAGGTTAAACCACCGAGAGCCCCTGGTGAACAGGCACCGTTTAACTTGGACAGGGACCCGCAGTGCGTTGCTGTGGCTCTCATTTCTTTCCTCCTTCCTTCTCCCATCGGCGGACACACAATGCCGAGAGCGTCCGCAGCCACCCAAGAAAAACAGGACGTAAAAGAGAGAGCCCCGGTCCCTCCTGTGGCGACCGCAGTGTGCAGGGGCGCAGTGAAGCATCTCACCCTGCCAGACAAACGCGCAGGCTCAACGCCGTCGCCGAGAACAATTCAAAAAAAAAAAGGCAAAAAAAAACACATCCGTAAAACAGTAAACTAATAAAATACTGAACAAAAACACAGAGAGAAAAAAACGGTGAATGGTCTACCGTAATTCTTAGAGAAGAACAATATAACTAACAAAAATGGATTGAATAAAAAACATGAGGAATGCGCTGTGCTAGCGCCGAAAGAAGAGCGCAATTTGAGTGATCAAAAAAAAAAGTCCTGCACTACAAAAATTCAAAAAAAAAGGCATGTCTACATAACACTTTATTTAGTTTAAAACGTGAGTGGAGAAAGGGAGGTACTCTCAGTAGAAGGACAAACTCCCCTCCACCGGGGTCCACTCAGCACAGGGCCGCAACGCCCCATAGCCCCAATAGCAGCAGAAGTAGCCGAGACACATCCGCACGCGTGGATCTGTCACCTGCAAGTTGCTCGGATGCATCGGAGCCGTCACCTGCACGTTTCTCAGATGCACCGGAGCCGTCACCTGCACGTTTCTCAGATGCACCGGAGCCGTCACCTGCACGTTGCTTGGATGAATCGGAGCTGTCAACTGCACGTTGTTCGGACATATCGGAGCTGTCAACTGCACGTTGTTCGGACATATCGGAATTGTCAACTGCACGTTGCTCGGCTGAATCGGAGCTGTCAACTGCACGTTGTTCGGACATATCGGAACTGTCAACTGCACGTTGTTCGGACATATCGGAACTGTCAACTGCACGTTGTTCGGACATATCGGAATTGTCAAC